TTATTTGAAAGGCAGAGATACAGAAATTGAGGGAGAGACAGATCTTCCATCCACCTGTTTCCTTCCCCAGTGACCACAATAACCAGGTCTGGGTCAAGCCGCAGCTAGGAGCCAGGACCAGGTATCCTGAAAGTGTGGTAGGAGCCATCTTTCACTTCATTCTCAGGTATACAGCAAGGAGCTGCAGTAGAGCAGAGCAGTGTGGACTCAGACCAGAACTCCAATATGGAATGCTGGTGTCACAAACTGTTTTGTTTTGTTTTTTAAGATTTTATTTATTTGAGGTAGAGTTACAGACAGAGAGGGAGAGACAGAGAATTTGGCCACAACAGCTGGAGCTGACCTGATTCGAAGCCAGGAGCTTCTTCTGGGGCTCCTACGCAGGTGCAGGGGCCAAGCACTGGGGTCATCTTCCACTGCTCTCCCAGGCCATGGCAGAGAGCTGTGTCGGAAGAGCAGTAGCCGGGACATGAACCGACACCCATATGGGATGCCTGTGCTGCAAGCCGAGACAGCCTACTCTGCCGCTGCACTGGCCCCACAAGCTGTGCCTTAACCAGCTGTGCCACAACACTGGCCTCCACTTGTGTCCATGCTAACTGCAAGTGACCACTGTGTTTCTTTTTTAATAAAGATTTATTTTATTTATTTGAAAGACAGTTACAGAGAGGTGGAGTCAGAGAGAGAGGTGTTACATCTGCTGGTTCACTCCCCAAATGACTGCAATGGCCAGAGCTGAGCTGTGCAGAAACCAGGAGCCTGGAACTTCTTCCAGGTCTCCCACACAGGTGCAGGGGCCAAAAGACTTGGGCCACCTTCTATTGCTTTCCCAGGCCATCGTAGAGAGCTGCATTGGAAATGGAGAAGCCGGTGCCCATATGGGATGCCGACACTGCAGGCCACGGCTTTAACCCACTGCACCACAGCAGTGGCACTGACAACTGTGTTTTTAATTGTCGTTATCCAAAGGAAATAAACTTGGGTTTTTGGAATAGAGGTATTTTTACATGTCCCGGCAAAGAGCTGCTAAAGTTAGGCTTCTGCCCTCCCACAGAGACTGAGATACATTCCTGTCTTCCCTGTTGATTCAGGAGATGGCTGCGGTTCCTTGAGATGATGATTTTTGCCAATGGCTTATTTATATAGCTTCTTGGTTTTTTTATTTACTAAAAAGATTACTTACTTGAACGCGGTATGGGATGTGGCAGCTGGTGTCATAGTCAGAGGCTTAACCTGCGGCACCAGAACACCAGCCCCGGTTTAGCTTTTTAAAAGATTGACAGAAGCAGATGAAGTTTCACTGGGCTGCCGTCTACCAGCCCCCAGTTCCTGGGGTAGAAGATGAGTAAATGCCCAAAGGCAGCTGGGCATCTCTTACCGTTTCCATGGTTTCTTAACTCAGCGGGGATTTTGATCTGCTGTAGGTGCACTCTGGAAGCCTATGGCCTGGGCTGTCTCTCACCATCGACTTCTGAAGGAAAGCACAAGCAGTATGTGTCAGTGTGAACTGAGGAAGACGCAACGTGAGAGTTTTCCTTAGGCCTCTTACCCCTCTGGCTGCTGCCAGAGCCGGCTTGGCCCCAGGCCTACACATTAACTTCAGCACAGCCTGCAGCCTCTCTTGAGCTTACTATTAGTTCCGCTGATCGGTGTTTTCTTTTGTTTAGGGCTTATTTGTGCATATGGAGCCAACTTCCAAAGATGGTTTTTCGTCTTAGTCTAAATGCCGTTTTCTGTTTACCATCCTGGAAAGTAGCTGTGTTTTGCTCTGTAGCTCCTGTGCAAATAACTTAATCAGTGTGCGCCCAGGAAATAGTGTTGCAGAATAAGAGAGCCGCCATTGCACTTCCTGAATTTCTCAGTGTCTCTGCAGATAGGCTTAGGCTGGGAAAGCTCCCCAGTGAGGGTGCTCTTGAACCAGTGAGGTGAGTGACTTCACTCCAGGGTTCATGAATGGGAGCCACAGCTGTTAAGAAATGCAGTGTGGACACACCTGGCCCTGATTAAGGTCAGCCTCAGGTGGAACATGCCAGGAGCTCACATTTCCATCTTTCTTAATTATTGTTTAACTTACCGTTTTCCAGGCACCAGCTAGATGGTTTACAACCACGAACTCTTTTCATTTTTTTTAAGGTTTATTTTATTTATTGGAAAGGTAGAGTTACAAGGAGAGAAGGAGAAACACAGAGAGGTTTTCCATCCACTGGTTCGCTTCCCAAATGCCGCAGTGGCTGGAGCAGGACCAGGCTGAAGTCAGGAGCCAGGAGCTTCTTCCAGGTCTCCCACGTGAGTGCAGGGGCCCAAGCATTTGGGCCATCATCTTCTGCTTTCCCAGGAACACTAGCAGGGAGCTGGATCAGAAATGGAGCAGTCGGGGCACAAACTGTTGCCCATATGGGACGCCAGCATTACAGGCTACAGCTTAACCCATTGTGCCACAACACCAGCCCCATGAATTCTGTGAATTCAAATTCTAAAAATCATGCTGAGATAGATGGTTAAAAGCTGCTTTTTAGTTTTGTGTGTGTTTTTTAACAGAAGAAGAGAAGGAACCTTATTAAAGTTGAATGACTCATCTAAGACCATATAGAACTGAGGTGTGAATCCAGATTTTTCTTCTGTAACACACAGCTTGTGCTATATAGAAAAGCTGCATTAATCACTCTTAGTCACATTCCATGTGTAAATCCCAGATGTGGCCTACAACTCTGATGTGGCAATACTGTCTTTTAAGATACGAGATTATAAAAAAGAGTGTTACCTCAGATAAGAGTGGTCGGTTATTCTTGTTGTCAGTTCCAAGGATTTGGAGCCTGTTGTTCTGATTCAGGTATAGAACAGGGTGTTCTGTTTAGTCAGAAACACAAAGATCTGAAACCTCACCTTTGAGCCATGTGTGCACAGTAAGACTGCAGTTCGCATTTGTCAATGATAAAATCTTACACTAAGAAGTCCCTGAAGAGGTCACAATGTTGACAAAGTTGAACATAAGGCAGGTGTTGTGGTGCAGTGGGTTAAGCTACTGCTTGGACTACTGGTTTGAGTTCCAGCTGCCCCACTTTCAGTCCAATTTCTGGCTAATGCATCTCGGAGACAGCAGATCATGGCTCAAGTACTTTGGCTCCTCCAGTCCATGTGGAAGACCCAGATAGAGTTCCAGGCCCCTTTCTTTCTCTCTCTCTCTCTCTCTCTCTCTCTATTAAAAAAAAGGATTGATTTATTTCAAAGTCAGAGATAGAAGGAAAGACAGAGATCTTCCATCTGCTAGTTTACTCCCCAAATGGCCACAATGGCCAGGGCTGGACCAGCCAAAGCCAGGAGCCAGGATTTTCATCCGGTAGCCCACATGGGTGCAGGAGCCCAAGCACCTGGGCCGCTTCTGCTGCTTCCCTAGGCGCATTAGCAGGGAGTTGGATCCTAAGTGGAACAGCTGGGACTCAAACCGATGCCCATATGGGATGATGAGGCTGCAGACAGTGGCTTAACCCGTTGCACCACAGCACCGGCCCTGTTATAAATTTTAAAACTTTTATCTATTTATTTATATGTTTGAAAGGCAGAGTGATAGAGAAAGCGAAAAAGAGAGAGTGATCCTTCATCTGTTGGTTCACTCCTAAATGGCTACAAGAGTCAGGGCTGGGCCAGGCTGAAGTTAGGAGTTAACACCATCCTGAGGGACTCAAGTACTTGGATCATCACCTGCTGCCTTCCAAGGCACATTATCAGGAAGCTGGATTGGAAGCAGAGTAGCTAAGATTCCAACTGGCAATCCTATAATGTGACACGAGTGACAGCTTAACCTGCTGAGCCACAATACTGGCCCCTTTAAAGTCAGTGTTCCCCCATGCCACATGTATTCCCCCTGTTTGCTTGGTGAAATACCAGGATTGCCATGGTATCTGTTTTCCTGCCTGTCTTTTTTTTTTTTTTAAAGATTTATTTATTTATTTAAAAGTCAGAGTTACACAGAGAGGAGAGGAAGATAGAGAGAGGTCTTCCATCTGCTGGTTCAATCCCCAGTTGGCCGCAGCTGCGCGGATCCAAAGCCAGGAGCCAGGAGCTTCTTCTAGGTCTCCCACGTGGGCGCAGGGGCCCAAGGACTTGGGCCATCTTCTACTGCTTTCCCAGGCCATAGCAGAGAGCTGGATTGGAAGTGGAGCAGCCGGGACTCGAACCGGCACCCACACATGGGATGCCGGCGCTTCATGCCAGGGCATTAACCCGCTGCACCACAGCGCCGGCCCCTTCCTGCCTGTCTTGTGTAGACTTTGCTGCCACTCCATAACCCAGTGGGATGCCTGCCATGGAGTGTACCGCAATTGCCTGGTCCTGAGAAGTATTCAGATTTCAGAACGTGGTTCCCATACGGGAAGGAGTGTCCTGCACCAGGCGTTATTCACATGGCATGCTTGGCGTGCGGTATGAGCTAATCCAGAGCTGTGATGTGCAGCCTGGACAAGTGGGTCTTGGTGATTTGTTGAAGCAGAGCTCCTTGTCTGCAGAGAAAGTGGTTGCCGGTTTCAGGATCTTTTCACTCTTGGAGTATTCTTGGGTGTCGTGCAGCCTGAAGAAACAGATGTGTCTGGGGCTGCAGACCAGCAGCTGCGGATTCTCCTAGACATGTTCACAGTCTTCTCGGACTTCGTGCAGGTCTTACCTTCAGGCAAAGGCTGCCTTTCCTTTCATCCTGTTTCTCACCAACTACCCCGACTGAGCTAAATAAAAATTCAGTCTGAGACTGTAATGATCTGAGTTCCCAGCAAGGGGAAAACCAAGTTTTAGGTCCCAAATTAATTACGTCATTTAAAATTTTCCACTGCATCTACAGGCCGTAGCTCTCAGGACCAAGGCAATTCATGTAAGATAAGAGAGGCCTCAAGGCTGAGGATCATTCTCAGCTTACAGACCTCTGATCAGAGACCTCTCTCCAGAGTGTCGGCACAGAGCAGAGCAGATCTTCCAAGAGCAGCAGAAAATGACGGAGACACAGGTGAGTGCTTAATTATCCTGATTTTTTTTTTCATTAGTGTTTTGAGGCTTATAGAATTTGACAGGCAGTTAGACAGTGAGAGAGAGAGAGACAGAGAGAAAGGTCCTCCCTCTGTTGGTTCACTCCCTAAATGGCCGCCTCGGCCTGCGCACTGCGCTGATCTGAAGCCAGGAGCCAGGTGCTTCTCCTGGTCTCCCATGGGGTGCAGGGCCCAAGGACTTGGGCCATCCTCCACTGCACTCCCGGGCCACAGCAGAGAGCTGGACTGGAAGAGGAGCAACTGGGACAGAACCTGGTGCCCTAACCAGGACTAGAACCCTGTGCCCTAACCAGGACTAGAACCCGGTGCCCTAACCGGGACTAGAACCCGGGGTGCTGGTGCTGTAGGCGGAGGATTGAGGCTTATAGAATTTTACAGCTGGGGGCTGACACTGTGGTAGAGTAGGTTAAGCCTCCACCTGTGGCACCAGCATCCCATATAGGCACTGGTTTTGAGTCCGACCTGCTCTACTTCTGATCCAGCTCCCTGCTGTGGCCTGGAAAAGCAGTAGGAGATGACCCAAATCCTTGGGCCCCTGCACCCACGTGGGAGACCTGGAAGAAGCCCCCAGCTCCTGGCTTCAGATCGGCGCAGTTGCGGCCAATTGGGGAGTGAACCATCGGATCGGTATAGCTCCAGCTGTTGCAACTAATTGGGGGGTGAATCAGTGGATGGAAGACCTCGCTCTCGCTCGCTCTCTCTGCATCTTCTTTCTGTGTGTAACTCTTTCAACTAAATAAATAAATCTTTAAAAAAATATTTGGTAGGATTTACTAATGGAATGATCTGGGTCTGGAGTTTTCTTTATTGAGAGATTTCAAACCACAAACTCAAAGTTTTAATAGTTTGCATATTTCTAGGATATGGGTCCACTTTACCCAAGTGTTGATTTAATGGGCATAGAGTTGTTGATAGTCTTCTTTTGTTATTCTTTTTATGTCTGTCAATCAGAAGTGATGTCCCCATTGGCATACCTGATTTCTCTCTATTTCTTATCCATTTCACTGTTATCCATTTCACTGCTTTCTGTACTAATTTGTATTAATTTTGTCCTTCTGCATATGTTGGGTTTAATTTGGTCTTCTTTCTGTAGTTTATTTTGTATTTTTTTTTTTTTTGACAGGCAGAGTGGACAGTGAGAGAGAGAGACAGAGAGAAAGGTCTTCCTTTTCCATTGGTTCACCCCTCAATGGCCACTATGGCTGGCGCACTGTGGCCGGCGCGCACCACACTGACCTGAAGCCAGGAGCCAGATGCTTATCCTGGTCTCCCATGCGGGTGCAGGGCCCAAGGACTTGGGCCATCCTCCACTGCACTCCCGGGCCACAGCAGAGAGCTGGACAGGAGGAGGGGTGACTGGGACAGAATCCAGTGCCCCGACCGGGACTAGAACTCGGGGTGCCGGCGCCGCAGGCAGAGGATTAGCCTATGGAGCCGCAGCAATGACCTGTATTTTCATTTTTATTGAAAGGTAGAGAGACAAAGGGAAATCTATCCACTAGTTTATTCCCTAAGTGTCTACTACAGCCTGGGCTGGTCCAGGCTGAAGCCAAGAGCCAGGAACTTCATCCAGGTCCCCCACACGGGTGGCAGGAACCCAAGTACTAGGGCCATTATTGGCCTTGCAGGTATATTAGTAGGAAGCTGAATTAGAAACAGAGTAGCTAGGACTCAGCCTTCACTTCAGTAGTGGATGTGGAGTTGGTGTTGTGACGTAATGGGTAAAGCTGCCACCTGCAACATCCCCTGTGGATGCGGGTTCCTGTCCTGGCTGCTCCACTTTCATTCCAGATCCCTGCTAATGGCCTAGGGAAGGCAATGGAAGATGGCCAAGTGTTTGGGTCCCTGCCACCCATGTGGGCGACCTAGATAAAGCTCCTGGCTTCCGCCGAGCACAGTCCTGGTGGTTGTGGCCATTTGAGTGGAAGGAAGATTTTCTCTCTCTCTCTCTCTCCCCTCCCCCTCCCATTCCTTCTCCCTCTCCCTTTCTCTGTGTAACTCTTTCAAATAAATAAATCTTTTTTGAAAAAAAAAAATGCTATGTTTGATTTTTGTTCCTTTCAACTTGTTAAGGTTTGTTTTATGGCCCAAGATTTTTTTTAAGATTTATTGAGTTAGAGAGAGAGAGAGGGAGATCCTGTATCCGCTGGTTCACTCCCCAGATGGCCACAGTGGCTGTGGCTAGGCCAGGCTGAAGCCAGGAGTCAGGATTTTTTTCTGAACCTCCCATGTGGGTGCAGGGGCTCAAGCACTTGGGCCATCTTCTGCTGCTTTCCCGGCACAATAGCAGGGAGGTAGACTGGAAGTGGAGCAGCGGGGATACAAAATCCAACCCATATGGGATGCTGGCATTGCAGGGAGTAGCTTAACGTATTATGCCGCAATGCCAGTCACAGGATGTTTTAAGTTGGTGAGTATTCCATGCACACTTGAAAATTAAGTTTATTTAGCTGTGTTGAGTGGAGTGTTCTATAAAAGCCAGGTCAAACTGATTGACACTGCTGTTCAAATAGTTTTTGACTATCCCAGTTGGTTCTGGCTCAGGGTCTTGCACATGCAGTAATGAAGGCACTGAGAATGGCTACAGTTGTTGCAAGGTGCCATGGGAAGATGATCACATGGATCTCTCCACAACATGGCAGCAGGATTCCTCAGAAGGAGCAAGCGAGGCCTCACGAGATGGAAGTCACGTTCTCTTGCAACCTCATCTTGGAGTGACGTCCCCTCACCACACCCGTTCTATGCAGTAGAAGTGAGTCCAGCAGGGGCCGTCTTAGAGGCTGCCTACAACAGAGAGAAAAAAAGCCTGTATTGTACAAAGCCCAATGAGAATCAGTTCAGATTTAACAGTGGTTTTGCTTTTCCAGATATCATTTGATGATGTGGCTGTAGATTTCACTTTGGAAGAGTGGCTCCTACTTAATCCTACTCAAAAGAATTTGTACAGAGATGTAATGTTGGAGAACTGTAGCAATCTAGTGTTCTTGGGTAAGAACATTCTTCTAATGGAATTTAGTATGAGCCCAGTAACTGTGCAGATGCTGACATATTCACTGCTTTGGGATATTTTTCTGATATTGCAGGCTCTATGATTTCTACACCATATTGAGAGATTTTTACTGCTTCACTTTGCAGCCTTTGTAATAAAGCCTTCTTAATATTTAGAGTCTCAGCCCAATCAACTGGGTACTAGTCCTCTGTGTTTCCAATTAGCAGGTTACCAAATGATGACACCAGATGTCATATTCAAGCTGAAACATGATGAGCCATGGATCATAGATGAAGAAATCCTAAGTCAGAACTTTTCAGGTTAGACATCATCAAGTGTGTGGAATACAATGAAAGTGAAATCTTGGTGTTTTGAAGACTGGTTGGCATTTTTGAAATGTTTATAAAGCCATTTAAAGTTCCTAAATCTTTAGAGTTGACTCAAAACTGGTGAAATGCATTCGTCATGATTTTTTAATATTCTCTATATCCTGATAAGCATATCAGGATGTATCGTCTTTGCATGAAGTTTCTGATAGAATATACTCCTCTTACCTGTACAGTGGCACAAATTGATGGCTAAGCATTTGGGACCCTGCTTTACTGAATAAGGCATTTCTTCCCAGCCTTTTCAGTTTTTATTCCTTCCCGGTTCCAAACCAACCTGCTTCCATAAGAATTCATATTTTTTTTTATCATTTTAGATAACACTGACTACCTTTCAGTTTATCTTGAAACTTTTATTAGTTTTCTTCCTCTAACTTAGCAGAATTGTTTTAAACCTACAGAGAAAGTAGAAGGTGAATCCATGGGTATAGAATAAAACCCTAATACCTTAAACATAGTAAGGAGATTCTATTTCTTTCCTTCTGTACAGACTGAAGACTTCAAAGTCAGCTTCTAGAGTGTCCCTAAGGTGCATCTGATGTTTAGCTTCTCTAAATTAGCTTCTCATTCATTCCATCATATAGTCTGGTGGGTTTGATTTCCTCTTCACCTGCTATGTGGTATTTAAACTCTGGTTATGATGAAGAACCTCATGATAATGGCAGCATCTTAACTCTCTGGTTCTTTTTCTGTGCCCAGAAGTCATAGTTAAGTGCATTTGAACCAGTTTCTTCGCTGCCTTTCGTACACTTTTCTCTGTACCTGGGCTTTCAGTTATGTCATGCCTCCCCCACTAAGACCATACCCCTTCAGCTTGAGCTCTTTTCTCACCTCCAAAAAAAATCTCCCCGACTTCTAACCTTTTCTGAAATTTCTAGCCCCTTAAAATCTATGTCATAGGAACCCAGGGCTTAGCAAAAATTATCTGGAATTATTTAACCAGTTATGTTGTAAGGGTTTTTTTTTTTATATAGAGAGATATGGCCATTAACTTAATTTTCTCTGTTCTTTATGGAATTTATGGTTTGTTCATATTCAATAAATATTTCTTTAATTTGTTTTATGGGACCAAGTGAGAAAGGATTTTATTTGTCAAGTATCTCTTCTAGTAGCAAGGTGTATCAACTTACCTTGGGATGTAGTTCAAACTACAGATGTCTAGGCACTATCTCTGATATATATTTGGGGGGGTATTTCTTCTGAGGTTTTTTTTTTTTTTTTTTAGATTTAGATCTCTACAGAGAGAGAGAAGGACAGAGAAAGAGATCTTTTGTCCACTGATTCACTCTCCAAATGGCCTCAACAACTGGGGCTGGGCCAGGCCAAAGCTAGGAGTCAGGAGCTTTTATGGTTCTCCCATGTAGGTAGGTGCAGGGGCCCAGGGATGTGAGCCATCTTTTGTTGCTTTCCCAGGTGCATTAGCAGGGAGCTAGATTGGAAGTGGAGCAGCGAGGACTCAAACCAGCACCCACATGGGATGCTGGTGCTGCAGGCGTCAGCTTAACCTGTTATTCCACAATGCCGGCCCCCAAAATTTTCAATGAAAGATAAATAGACACTATTGGAAGGATTGTTTTAGAAAACTAGAATCCCTGGGGTCAGCATTGTGGTGTAGCAGGTAAATCTGCCTGTGATGCTGGCATCCCATATGGGCACCAGTTCCTGTCTCAGCTGCTCCACTTCCAATCCAGCTCCATGTGAAAGCCTGGGAAAGGCAGTGGAGGATGACCCAATTGTTTGGGCCTCCACCACTTAGGTGAGAGACCTGGATGAAGCTCCTGGCTCCTGGCAGCCCTGGCTCTTGCAGCCATCTGGGGAGTGAACCAGTGGATGGAAAATCTTTCTAACTCTCTCCCTTTGTCTCTCCCTGTCTCTCTATAACTTTGACATTCAAATAAATAAATAAACCTTTAGAAAACTGGAATCCCAGGTCCCATTTCAGAAGTTTTATTCAGTAAGCATAATCATTGAAGAACTTATACAGTATGGTTCGTTTTTTTTTTTCTTTTTAGAAGTCTGGCTAGATAATGATTCCAAAATATGGCATCAAGATAATCAAGACAAGCTTAAAAGTATGGAGAGAGGCCATCAATATGATGTCTTGGAGAAAATATTTAATTCAAGCATAAACTTTGTTCCTTTAGGAATGAGACTCCAGAAATGTGGCACAGGTGAGAAAAGTTTGAAACACCCTTTTGATTTTCTTGTGCAAAAAAATACCTGTGGAAGAAACAAACTTTATGAGTTCAGTAAGAAATTATTACTCTCTATCAAAACTGATGGAATCCACAGTGGAACAAAATACTGTGTTTGCAGTAAATGTAGAAAGTCCAGCAGGAGAGAGTCATGGCTCAATACAAACCATGTAACACAATCAGGAGCATATTTATGCATGGAATGTGGCAAGGTTTTTAAGAAGAAGTCACAGCTTTTTATTCATCAGAGAACTCACACAGGAGAGAAACCCTATCAATGTAGTGAATGTGGGAAAGCCTTCTCACAGAAGTCACTGCTCACTCTTCATCAAAGGACACATTCAGGAGAAAAACCATATGGTTGTGGTGAGTGTCCAAAGGCTTTCAGTAGAAAGTCATTGCTCATTTTACACCAGAGAACTCATACCGGAGAGAAACCCTTTGGTTGTAGTGAGTGTGGGAAAGCCTTCAGCAGGAAATCACAGCTTAAAAGGCATCAGATAGCCCACACAGTAGTAAAACCCTATGGTTGCAGTGAGTGTGGGGAAGCTTTCTCCCAGAAACTAAAGCTCGTTGCACACCAAAGACTGCATACAGGAGAGAAACCTCATCAATGTACTGATTGTGGAAAAGCCTTCTTTTGGAAGTCACAGCTGATTACCCACCAGAGGATTCATACAGGGAAGAAACCTTACGTGTGCAGTGAGTGTGGGAAAGCCTTCAGCAGGAACTCACTGCTCGTTAGGCATCAGAGGATTCACACAGGAGAGAAACCCTATGAATGCAGTGAATGTGGCGAAGCCTTCGTCAGAAAGCCACAGCTTATCAAACATCAGATAATTCACACAGGAGAGAAGAACTATCGCTGCAGTGATTGTGAGGAAGCCTTCTTCAGAAAGTCAGAGCTAATGAGACATCAAAAAGCTCATTTAGGAGAAAAATCCTATGGATGTGTTCAATGTGGAAAAACCTTCTTTGGGAAGTCACAGCTCCTGACACATCATAGAACTCATACTGGGGAGAAACCTTACGAATGCAGTGAGTGTGCGAAGGCCTTCGCCCAGAAGTCAAGTTTGATATCACACCTGAGAACACATACAGGGGAGAAACCCTATGAATGCCGTGAGTGTAGGAAAACATTCAGTGAGAAGTCAAGTCTCACTCATCATCAGAGAACCCATACTGGAGAGAAGCCCTTCGAGTGTAGTGACTGTAGGAAGGCTTTTGCCTGGAAGCCACAGCTCCTTAGGCACCAGAGAATTCACACAGGGGAGAAGCCCTATGAATGCAGTGACTGCGGGAAAGCGTTTGTTCAGAAAGTACAGCTCGTCAAACATCAGAGAAATCACACAGGGGAGAAGCCCTATGGGTGCGGTGACTGTGCGAAAGCTTTCTTTGAGAAGGCACAGCTCATTCTACATCAGAGGATTCATACAGGAGAGAGACCCTACAAATGTGGTGAGTGTGGGAAATCTTTTACTAGGAAGCCACACCTTATGAGGCATCAGAGAATTCATACAGGAGATAACTACTATGGATGCAGTGAATGTGGGACCGCCTTCAACAAGAAATCACAGCTCATGATACATCAGAGAAATCACACAAAAACCATGTGAATATTGTAAACATGGAAAGCTTGCTATCAGATGGCTTACCTGTTAATGCTTCTGGGAATACCGGGAGTCGATCTCTGTTGAGACAGTGACTGTGAAGTGCCAGTGCAGTTGGTGTAGCTGATGCCTGCAGTGCCGGCATCCCACACGGGAACTTGGCTCCGATCCAGCTCCCTGCTGGTATGCCTGGGAGAGCAGTGGAAGATGGCCCGAGTACTCGGGCCTCTGCACCCACGTGGGTGACCTGGAGGAAGCTCCTGGATTCTGGCTTCAGATCAGCTCAGCCCCAGCCATTGCAGCTATTTGGAGAGAACCAGCAGATGGAAGATCTCTCTCTCTCTCTCTCTAAAAAAGGAGAAACACAAATAGAAGCATAAACAGGACAGCTTTAACTGGGAAGTAAAGAGTCACTGAACAGAGTTCAGCAAGGAGAGAATTTTACTAAGTAGGTAATGTAGAAAAGCCTTTCTCCTAGAAGACACAACTCATTACACATCGGATGACGCATCAAGGGGAACATCTTACTGTTTTAACACAGAAGTTCTCAGTCAAAAAGTATAGCTAATTTAACATTTAGAGACCTAAACAGGAGTAGAATTCTATTGTAACAACAAGTCAAAAATTTTATCAAGAAAGTACAAAGTACAATAAGCCATACAATAGAAAATGCTTACAGAAAGGGAATGCTAGATATTATTATATTTTAGAAATTTCACACTGATTAATACTGCGGCCGGCACACCGTGCTGATCTGATGGCAGGAGCCAGGTACTTCTCCTGGTCTCCCATGGGGTGCAGGGCCCAAGCACTTGGGCCATCCTCCACTGCACTCCTGGGCCACAGCAGAGAGCTGGCCTGAAAGAGGGGCAACCAGGACTAGAACCCAGTGTGCCGGCGCCGCAAGGTGGAAGATTAGCCTAGTGAGCCACGGCGCCGGCTTTATTTTATGTTTTCAAAAAGATTTATTTGTTCAGAAGACCGAGAGTTACAGAGAGGGAGAGATCTTCCGTCCACTGGTTCCTTCCCAAATGGCTGCAAAGGCCAAGCATAGGCCAGGCTGAAACCAAGGAGCTTCATCTAGGCCTGCCACGTGGGTGCAGGGGCCCAAGCACTCGGGCCATCTTCCGTTGCCTTTCCAGGCACATTTGCAGAAAGCTGGGTTGGAGATGGAACAGCTGGACGTGAACTGGCACTTATATAAGATACCAGCATGGTAGGCAGCAGCTTAACCTGCGCCATAGTACTTGCCCCCAAAGTGGTCAATTTTAAATAGTATGTTTACTTAAGTGTGAAGATTTATGCCTTCCTCATTGGTAGAAGATTAGGATTAGATTAGGAGACTACCTTGAACAGTTTGAAAGTAATCAGTATATATAAAATGATGTTTATAAACACATGACAAGTGTGGGTTTGTGATTTGGCAGAAGGCAAACTGTGACAGTGAAGTGAGCCCTATGACTGCCTAGCCTAAGCCTAGTGTCAGTTTCCAGATGCCAGTCCAGGGATGCGAATAGATGTTGAATTGAAGAGAGGGAATTGGCATTCGGGGAATTGGCAGTGGAATGTACTGGAGAGGAGGGATCTTTGCAGAGATAGGACTCTGAACCTCTGCGAGAAGCCTCTGGAGTCCTTTGTCTTAGTAGTGATTTGTGTTTGTGTGACAGAAAACTACCAGGAAAAGAAGCACTGCAAAGCAGTCGACTACACAGTTTCTGGAGCTCGCAAAGGACTAGGTGTAGCTCACGTTGCTACCAGCCAGAGTGGAGATAGCTTATAACACATGGAGTACCCTGTAGAATTCTCAGAAGGATTTTGTTTAGTAGTGAGTGTGGGGAGCAACTGAGACTAGACTAAATTACTGGAACTGCTAGGACTAATTCTATGCATCTGATCTCCCACCATATGGCGCTGAGAGAGAGTAAACAACTTCCACACAGCTGCCTCACCAATTCGACTGACAAGCTGCAGGAGCTGATCCTGCTCCTGATTGGAGGAGAGCAGCGTGCTCAGCGCGGGGAAAGAATGCCAGGAGAGTTGGGATTGGTGGAAGAGGACTATAAAGGAGGAGAGAGACAACATGCACCAGGAACATCTGAGCAACCCCTGAGAGAGCCAGCCGGCCGGCCGGCGGTATACCACCCCTCTGCGGAAGCGGGGGAATTGGCGGGGGTGCAGCCCCTCTGCAGAGGCGGGGGTGGGGGGAGTGGGGACCGGGAAGGGCCGGGGAAAAAGAACAGCACAGGGTCCGGTGTCATTCCTCCACGAGACGGGGAGTGACAGTGAGGCTGATTTTCCAAGATTAAAAGCTACTGTGGAATCCCAATTCCTGGCATATAAAACACTTACCTGGAATGCAAAGAAGCAAGAAACATGGGCTGTAACTAGGAGGCAAATAAATCAATTGAGACAGACCCAGAAAAGATCGAGGAGATGGAATTAGTAGAGTACATTTGAATAGTTTTTGTAAATACGATATAGAGGAAAATACAAAGGTATTGATCAGCTTTTCATCACTACAACTAAATACTTAAGATAAGTTACTTATAAAGGGAGGAGATTTATTTTGGCTCATGACTTTGGGAGTTCACATTCCCAAGTTTGGGCATGCCCCGTTGGTTCACTGATGATTCTGGAGGGTGGCGATGGAGGAGTGTATGTGGAGGAAGAATCACATGGCAAACCAGGAGGCAGAGTGAATGGCTAGGCCCATCTTGGCTTTTATAATCTTTCTCCTGAGAACTACCTTCTGAGGGTACCCCCTTGTGACCTAAGGAACGTTCACTAGGTCACATCCTAAACTTCATAATTGGATCATTCCTGTACCCTCACTGACCAGCAACCCATGACTTCGGGGTATAAATGTATGAATTTTGGAGCCAAATCCTGTTCAAACCGCAGCAGCAAATTTCATGAAATCCAGTGTAAGATACATGTTTAAGGCCCAAATGGAACTAATAGGGATGAAAACAATATCTGAAATAAATGTTTAAATGCTGAGTAGAAGTCAGAGCAGATTAGACATAGAAGATGGAAAAAAACGCAATGAACTTGATGAGTAAGTATAAAATTAGTTAGATGGTATACAAACAGAAAAAATACTTTAGAAGAAATAATAGGAAAACAGACCATGGAATAATATATGTGTGACTATATTCCCAGGAGGGGAGGAAAAATAACATGCACAAAAATTGTATGACTAGGTAATGGCTGAAAATTTTAAAACATGATGAAAGTGATAATCCTGCATATACAAGAAGCTCCATGAACACAAAGCAGCGGTAACAAAGGAAACCTCTGTAATGCACATCAAAGTCACATTGATGAAAAACAGTGACAAAACAATTGTACAGCAAGTAGAGAAAACAGAGTACACTCACATGAACAGAGTGGCAGCATACTTCTGGTAAGAAGTGTGCAATCTACAAGAAAGTAGAGTAGCATAGCTAAGAAAGAAACAACAAACACTGGAACCAATTCTGTTTCCATCAAAAACATTCAGAAATGAAGGCAAAAATCAAGACTTTCAGTCAAACAAAAGATCAAGAGGAATTTATCACCTATAGACGTTCCTATGGGGACAAACAAAGTCTTGGGGCAGAGAAAAATAGTACAAAGAGGAAATGTGGATCTACAGAAAGCCATGAGGAATTCTGGAAATGGTGAATATGTGGATAAATAGAAAAGATTTTTTCTGTTGTTTTAAAACAAGATCTAAGTGCATAAATCTAGAGTGATGACAGTGTATTCTGGGTTTATTATAGATGTAGAAGTAAATTGATAATAGGACTTAAGTATGGGTCTTTAAAAGTAGCTGAATAAATGGCACCATCCGAGTCCAGCGTGAGTCCTCAGGGCTCAGGGTGACTGGGTCTCTGGCAGCTCCACAACCAGAACTGCACCTGTTATGGGTCTGTGTGTGTGCTGACTATGCGCTGCTTCTGCAGATCTGTTCTCCCTTCTCTGCTGTGCACCTCCAACATCGTCTTCTAGTGACCGCGCCACTGAGGCTTATTCTTAGGATGGAACAATGTGAGTTATCAGTAAAAGAGCAGGGGGGAGAGGCTGGAGCGTGTATTGCCTCTCCCTCCCTGCCTCCAGGACCAAAATCTGGGCAGTGTCTGCTCCAGTGTTGCTACAGCTGCCTTTGAGGAGCGCTGTCTCTCCAGCCTTCAGACTTAAGGGTGACAACTTTTTTGGGGTGTTTCCCTATCAATGGTTGAGTTTCTTTAATTCTGAACAATTCTATGTAAAGTTTCTATATTAAATGTTGTTAATGTTTTGAATACTATTTTTTTCTTTGCCATTTGTTGAATGAACATTTAATAAAACTGATATCTGTTACTGGTAAATGTGCCTCACAAGCCATAGGCTGACTGCTACCAAGATTTCCCACACTAAAAATCAGTATTTTCTCTTTGTCTTTTTTAAAAAAAGTTATTTATTTGAATGGCAGAGTTAGAAAGAGAGAGGGACAGACACAGAGAAGTGTCTTCCATCAGTTGGTTCAACCCCCCGAATATCTGCAACAGCCAGAGAGGCAGGAGCCAGGAAGTCTCTCTGGGTCTCCCATGTTGGTGGCAGGGGCCAGGTGTTTGGGCCATCTTCTGTTGCCTTCCAGGCAGATTAGCAGAGAGCTGACTTGGACGTGGAGCAGCTGCGACTGGAAAGGGCACCCATATGGGATGCTGGTGCTGCAGGCAGTGGCTTCATCTGCTATGCCCAAGCCAGCACCTGTTTGTCTTTAACAGTTCAATAGAAATTACAACAAAGTTTGTTTGTTTGGGTTTTTTGCTGTGTATGTAATTAGCTGTGAAGATACTGCTGTTAGCTACATATGTTGACAGACTTGCAGTTATTTCTAAACCCCTCTTCTGGAGAAACTGAAACATTTTTTAAAGATTATATTTATTTGAGAGAGTGAGTTACAGACAGTGAGAGGGAGAGTCAGAGAGAATGGTCTTCTGTCCATTGGTTCACTCCTCAAATGGCCACAACAGCCACAGCTGTGTTGATCCGAAGCCAGGAGCCAGGTGCCTCTTCCCGGTCTCCCACGTGGGTGCTTTCCGAGGCCACAGAAGAGAGGTGGATTGGAAGAGGAGCAGCCAGGACTAGAACTGGCACCCATATGAGATGCCAGTGCCACAGGCAGAGGATTAACCTACTGCGCCACAGTGCTGGCCACTAAACTAAAACATTTATAATCATTTATGCTACCTTAGAGAAAGCCAAGCAACCTATAAAAAGAATTTTTATTCAGGTTAAATATATATGGATAATAAACAAGATAACAAATTACTGAGTAAAAAAGAATAGTATGCCATACTTCCAGGTACTCAAAAAACTTGTGCTGTGCAGTTATG